CCAAGGGAAACCAACTCCTGCCCTGGGGGCTTGGCTGAAAACCCCGCATCCTGGGGCCAGTTATGCCAGTCAGCAGCCAACCAATGCAACCGGACTCTCTCTGAGGAACCACCACCACTAGGAGCTCGCAGAGCTGGCGGGACCCTACAGCTCAGGCTGTAATCTGAACAGCACTGCACTGACTTGGAAGCGAGGGACCCTGAGCTTGTCCGGGTAGCAGCTGGGACAGTTTAAAACAGCAACAGAAAATCTCTCCCCCTCCAGGGGACCCTCATAACAAAGTTCTGTCACCGAATTTCATTTACACGGGCTTCTTGTAACCCAGAAAGGCAACCCGATACACACAGACATACCTGCCTAAACACCCTGCAAAAAGAACTCCAGGGTGACCACGAGGCTCCATTCCGACAACAAGAAACAGCCACCACGCTTCCTCAAGCAGCCCCCGCTTCAAGCACGCTGCACCACCCACAGACTCGTGCGTGTCCTTTCCTCTCCACTCCCATCCACAAACCTTCCTACTCATCTTCCTTCTGTGGGGACTTCTCTGGTCCCACCCGCTGCTCACCACACCCCTTTCTAAATCCCACAGCACCTTGGGACACCTCAATGAGAGGTCTCAACTGTGGACATCATTTTAAAGTCCTCACATCTAGGTCCTGTCATTCTTTGTCTAGATCTGTCTCTTCTCCCTTTGAATTCCTCAAAGCCTGGACATTTCCTTGGGTCCTCAGTACTGAACACAGTGTCTGGCACAGGGGAAGGATTCTGTAAGCATTTTTTCCAGCACTGAGTGAGTGCAAGAGAGAAACAATCTGAGCGCCGCCAGCCCTCATGTTTGTATGAAGATGTTCAGAATCGTGCCTGGCATTTGTTACCACACTTTTCATACTCTCAAAGCATTTCTGATGTTACTTGTCATTTTGATTCTCATCATACCCAAGAGGTAGGCAGGGAGAGGGCAGAGACTCCCCACAGTAGAGAAGGACCCCAAGACTCTGAGAAGGACAGTGACCTGCTCAAGGTCACAGGTGAGATAGATGGCTCAGACCTCCTGCTTCTGAAGCTGGGGTTCATTCCACCCCCCACCATTGGCTTCCTCATGTCCCTGTGACCTCCCACACGAAAGGGGGCATTGAGACAAGGAAGGGAGCTTTGAGGCCACACAAATCTTCGGCCCTTTGGGGGACGCTCTCCTTCTTGGCAAAAGCCCAAATCCATGGCCCTAGGGAAGGAAGCATCTAGAACTGTGGAAGCACTGGGCTCATAGCCAGCAGAGTTGGGTTCCAGATTTGGGATTTCCACATTCTAGTGATTTCATCTTGGATAAATTGTTTACTTTCTCTGAGCCTCAGTTTCCTAAGAAGTGACAGGTATTTGCTTCACAGAGGTGTTACAGAATCTGTGGGTTTCCAGTGCTGAAAAGAATTCAGACCCTGTTAAAGTATCATATGCATGTGAGGGGAGAAACAAAAATGACAGGGCAAACAAAGCACGGTGGACAAGGCCTCAAGTCTGAACCCGCACGAGGACATGCCGTCAGATGCAGCTCTATGTGTGGGCAGAAGTCACTGGCAAGGCAACAGGGCAAACTGCCCTCTGTCATACCAGTCCCACCTCTCCTGCCACGTCCCTTAGGCAACCGAAGGAAGCACAGTGGAGAGGGTTCTACTTTAACCTAAACCTGCAAAAAGGCATTTTCCTAAATTCCTTGACCTCATAAAAATGATCTGCTTACTTTGCGATCACTTTATTTATTTTTAAGTAATCGCTATGCCCAACATGGGGCTCAGACTCACAACCCCCAGATCAAGAGTCACATGCTCTACCGACTGAGCCAGCCGGGCGCCCCGGCGATCTGCTTACTAGATTCACCAGGTTCTGGCCAGCAGCCTCTTCCCAAATCGCCCTTTGGCCATTTTGCTACTTATTTTCCCCTCCAAGAGGTGGGTGGGGAGCCCATACCACACCAGTTCTGACCCTGCTGGCCTTTGCTGGAGGAGGGGTTGGTATGCACAGGGCCTTAGGGACAATTACTTTTATTAAGACCCTAGAAAAGCCACACTCAGCGCTTCCGTTTTTCATCACCAGACTTGCCGGGGAGAAAACGAAGTCACTGGTCGCTGTGACATTTTACACCCTCTCCCCGGAAATGGCCAGTTGCTACTTGCTATTATTATGATTTTTTTTACATTTCCATTATTAAGGTCATGGGTTCAACCTCTGTTCTCACACATATAATTTCGCCCAGAGACAGGAAGATCTATTCCCCCGCCATAGATAGTGCCACTCCCAATGCGCTGCGTGGTAAATGCTTGCCTGTTCCATCCACAAGACAGTCAACTCCTCAAAGGCGAGGAATCTGCCTTATTCATGTAACTATTTCCAGTGACCGGCACAGTGCCCAGCGTACTGGAGGCATTTAATAATTACAGCTACTGTTTGTCGCACACTGCGCTAGGCACTTTTTTACGTATCATCTCGTGTAATCCTCACAACAACATCTCAAGGTAGAAATGTTATGATTCCCATTTTACAGATGGGGAAGCTGAGGCTCAGAAAGGTGAAATAGCTTGTCCAGGGTGAACACAGCCAGGAAAGAGCAGAATCAGGACTGAATAGAGGCTGACTAGCTTCAGAGCCTGTTTCCGGCCACCCACCTCCCCTGCTGGGGAAGCCTTTCCTTCAGAGGGCCATTTCTGCAGCTGAGGCAGAGGCTGGCTCTGATCCTCCATCCTGTACTCCTGACTCTCTCTGGGGCCTTCACCCTTTGTTTTCCCAGTGACCCTCAGTTGTCCCAACAACAGAATGGGGCACTTAATCTTTTTCCTTAGACCCGATGACTTCGATGGTGGGGGCAAGGATTTCTTATCACAAGTGCTAACTGAAAAGGAAAAATTCATAATGATTAAAATAATGAGGCAGTCAAGGGACACTCCAGGCTCGTCTGTCCTCAGGGGAGCCTCACATCCTAATCTGGGCCAAGCCACTGCCTTCCTCCCCAGTGGGGCTGATTTGATGGTCTATAAAATGATGATAATAATGCTGACCCTTCTCATGGGAAGGAAAAGGAGGTACGTGGGAGGAGTTAATGCTTAGACGGGAAAAGATTAGAGATGAAAAAGCATGAGTTTCAGGCTGAATTTAGAGCATGACATCATTTCTTTTTAGAATCAAAAGTCGCTTTTAAGTCATGTTTATGAAATTGCTTTTTGTGGTTCCTTGAATCCCTCATTTTGCCAATCTTCTACCTCCTATAACAGGACTCAAAAAAGGGGAGACGTAAGCCAGAGGGTGCTGAGACTCAAGTCTTCACAGGACAGACTGGAGACTCAAAGGCTCACAGAGCACCCACCCTCACCAAGGAGTGAAGGACAGTGAAAACAGGAGGGGACTGCTTGGAAGGTGGCTTTGGCTAGCTCCAGGTGTGGGAGGATTTTCAGGGGGAGACACACAGGTCATGGGGAGGGAGGCTCACTCTGAGCTAGGGAGGGGTCCTCCAGCCCTCGCCTGGACTGCTAAAGCAGACTGTGGTCCGAGGGCTTGTGGGCTCACAAAGATAAAAGTGGTATTTAGCAGAAGAGAGAAAAATGTATTCAACTCCCAGCCCAGTTATGATTTAGACGCAGCCGTGGGCAGAATAGCAATGAGCTCCTTATTTTAAACAAATGGTAGAGAGATGGAAATAGATCAAGGGTGTGGAATCAGTGGAGGTTTTTGCAATCAGTGAACGGATGGCAGACCACACCCTTGTCAGGAAGGGAAAAGAAAAAAATACAAAGAATATTCCTTAAGAACAAAAAGCCTCTCTTTTCGGAGAGGAGTGTTCACATTATTGCTGCAGAGCAGCGTGCATCTAAATCATCACTAGAGAAGGTTCAGACCTCCTCTTGGTGCTGGACTCAGGAAGGGAGGAGACTCCAGCCCTTCCCCTGGGGACTCTGGATCCAAGTAAGACCCTCCTCCAAAACGAAGGGAACCTGGACTGGATGGACCCTCAGGATCATGTAGCAAAAGCTAGGACAGTGGCTCCCATTCATGCATTTGGTGCCAGACATTTTATATATTCTTTTGTTCCAATCCTACAGCATTCTCATGAAGCAGGTACTTATATCTTCATGCTGTTAAGGGAAGAAACTAAAGCTGGGTCTAGCTAAGGTCTAGCCCAAGGCCACACAGTTAAAAGTGGAGAGTCAGGATTTGAACTTGGGCCTGTCTGGCCGCAAAACCCACATGTTCTCCACTACACCACAAGAGGCCTTTGCTCACTTGTTACTCTTCGGCGAGGCCTTCCCTGACCACCCGAAGTAAACATGCAGCGCCCCGTCCCTGGCACTCTCTATGCCCTGCCCCTATTTTCTTCCTCTGCTCAGCACCTAAAAGCCTCTGACCTACTATATTTTTACTTATTTGTTTACCATCTGTTTTCTTCCCCTAAAACCTAGGCTCCACCAAGGCGAAGATTTTCAGCATACCTGTAGTGCCTAGAACAGTATGTGGAAAATCAACGAATATTCAGCGAATAAACAAATGTTGAAAAGCCTCTTGCCTGACTGTCTACTGGAAAGCTAACATTGAAATGCATACCGCTTTTGATAAAAAGCAACCCAATGGTCCTTCAGAAAACCTAAAGTTAGGGACACCTGGGTGGCTCAGTCAGTTAAGCAGCTGCCTTCGGCTCAGGTCATGATCCCAGGGTCCTGGGATCGAGCCCCGAGTACCTACTCCGCAGGAAGCCTGCTTCTCCCTCTCCCACTCCCCCTGCTTGACACACTCATACTTGACAAATAAATAAATAAAATCTTAAAAAAAAGAAAAGAAAAAAGCTGTGACAGCAGCGTGATCCAGGCCACAGAAGCCAAGATGGGAAGCAAGGATGCCTTAGGGAGGATGCCCAGAGGACGTGGGGCCCTCTTAAAAAAACAAAACAAAAAACCCTGAAGTTTCTAGACTCAGATGGTGTAAAAGGGAGAGTAAAGAGACAGCGGGCCTACCTCTCGGAAGACAGGAGAGCGGAAGATGTCATCCAAGCCACCACGGTGGGCAAGAGGGCAAGACACAGACACAAGGCACTAGTTCACAAGCTAATTTGAGCGCACACAGGGATCTGTAAATAAGAGAATAAAACGGGTAACTAGAGGTGCTGAGACAGACAGTGGAGCTCAGTCTGTAGGAAGAATCAACAAAGCCATTCCACAGCTTCACCTGGCGTGGGTTGTGGGTATCTTCATTTAGGAAGATAAAAAAGGTGGGGATGGGGGGAGCAGGACCTCCCTACAGGACGGGCATCAACTGTACCAGAGAAAAGATTCACAGAGCAGTGGTTCTTTGGGGCGCCTGAGTGGCGCAGTCGGTCAATCGTCCGACTCTTGGTTTTCAGCTCAGGCCCTGATCTCAGGGTCTGGAGATCAAGCCCCGCACTGGGAGTCTGCTTAAGATTCTCTCTTGCCCCTCCCCACCATGTTCTCTGTCTCTCTCTTTCTCTTTCTCTCTCAAATAAATAAATACATCTTTAAAAAAAAGAAAGAAAGCAAGCAGTGGTTCTTTAACTTGCCCAAACTGATAACTTGGGGCAAGGTTCTTGACTCAGTGGGGATAACATGAGATAATGTATGTGAAACCCTGAGTACAAGACTCTGAGTACAATACCCATTTCTGAAAATCTGATACATGTACACACCCCCTCTCCAGAAAAATGCACATTTGACTATACACTCAAAATTCTGCATACAATTTCACAGGGGCTAGGAGCCTTCCAGAACCTTCCAGGTCTACTGAATAAGGGGCTAAGAAAAAGTGCCTTAATGAGATAGAAGGGCCCCAGGGTCAACAAGATTTGGCTGTAATTCACTAGAATATAATCATACACCTAAAGAAACAATGGGCTAACTGGAACAGAGGTTAATCAACCTTGGGAGCGCAGAAATGGCAAATATAGGCTGTCCCCATTCATTCAAGCACTGCTAAGGGAGGGGTGCCCTGGTCCAAGAACCTACTCGTCTGTCCCTGGTGGCAATGGTCCCTCCTCCTCTGTTGACATACAGATCAGTTTCCTGTGCCCACAAGGCTTCTTGGGTGATAGCCAGGAAGCCCCAGTGTGCTGAGATCAAGAGCTCTTATTTTCTACTAGTGAGTAGAAATGAGTAGATTCTAATGAGCAATTTCTCTCATAGCAATCGACCTAAAGGAAATAATTAGAAGTCGAGACGTATATAGGCACATACAGAAGATGTCCACTACAATGGATTTCTAAAAACTTTTTGAGTTAATTTTTATTTATTTATTTTTTAAAGATTTATTTATTTGAGAGAGAGAGCACACACATGAGCAGGGGGAGGGGCAGGAGAGGGGAGAGAGAATCTCATGCAGACTCCACGCTCAGCGCTGAGCCCAACACGGAGCTCAATCTCACGACCCCGAGATCATGACCTGAGCCGAAACCAAGAGTCTGACGCTCAACTGATGCGCCACCCAGGCACCCCTTGAGTTAATTTTTAGATTAACATACAGTTATAAGAAGTAATATTGAGAGACTCCCTATACCCTTCACCTAGTTTTCCCCAGTGGTAACCATCTCAGTCTGTTCAGGCTGCTATAACAAAAACACCAAAAAGTGGGTGGTTTAAAAAACATACATTTATTTCTCACAGTTCTAGAGGCTGAGAAGTCCAAGCTGAAGGCACTGGCAGATTATCTGTCTGGTAAGAGCCCCTTTCCTGGTTCAGAGGTGGGCATCTTGCTGTCCTCAACATGGCAGAATGGGTGAAGAAACTCCACCCCCCTGACCTAATCACCCCAAAGGTCCCCACCTCTTAACATCATCACACTGGGGATTAAGTTTCAACATACAATTTTGAGGGCACACATTCGCTCGATGGCAAGAATATCTCGTATAATCATCAATCCACACAACTTATTCGGATTTCGCTGTTTTATGCGTACTCATTTGTGTGTGTATTTAGTTCTATGTAATTTTATTACATGTAGATTTGTGGGACCACCACCATAGTCAAGACACAGAAAGGTTTCATCACAGTAAAAAAGTAAAAATAATAAACCTCAGCATCCAACATTAGGAGATTGCTCACATAAATTATGGCACAGTTATAGGATAAAATATTTTTCAGTCGTTTAAAAGGGCGAATACATATATATTATAAAATGTTTATAGAAATTGTTTAATATGGGAAAATGCTTATGAGATGCAAAGTTGCATATATGATTTTTTTAAAGTGTTGAAAAAAATAAAGTATTGAGAAATACTTGAGGAAAATATGCTAGAAGTTTCTAAACACTATTTCCCTTTAGTTGGTAGGATAGGTTGTACTGTTCTTCCATTTTACTTTTTTGTATTTGTCAAAAACTTCTACAATAAGCATCTATTATGGACTGAATGTTTATGTTCCCCTAAAATTCATACGTTGACGCTCTACCTGGGAACGTGAAGGCATTGAGAAGCGGTGCCCTTGGGAGGTAATAGGGTTTAGGTGGGATTACGAGTGTGAGGCCCTCATGATGGAATTAGTGGCTCTACAGGAAAAGAAGACAAAGAGAAAGACTGCTCTCTCTCTGCCCTGTGAAGACACAGGGAGAAGGCAGCTGTCTGCAGGCCAGGAAGAGGGACCTAGGGACCAAATCAGCTGGCACCTTCGTTTTTGGGACTTCCCAGCCTCCAACACTGTGAAAAATAAATGTCTGTTGTTGAAGCACCCCAGTCTGTATTTTGTTATGGCAGCCCAAGCTAACTAGGACAGCATCTCTTACTCAAAGAATAGGGGTGGTGGCTGTGTGTGTGTGTGTCGGGAGAGGGGGGCGGGAATACAAGAGGGGAAAAAGGGAAGAGAAACCAAATTAAAACCAAAAATGTTGACTCAAGGCTGAGACCCTACCATGAGGAGGGACTGCTCCCTGGGAAACAATTGCTCTATCTGCCCCCGGACCCCAGGGCTCCGGGGACTCTGGCCTATGGCTTTCCCAGGCACCTTGGGAGTGCAGAAGGAGTCCACAGGCTCTGCAGCTCTGGTTGTGAACAGGGTGTAATAAGGAGGTGAGGGCATCCTCTGGGCCTCAGCCTTTATTTATGAAAGACAAGGAGGCTGGAGAGACTTGAAGGGCAGGGGCAGGAGGTGGAAGCAGCCAGTTAGCTCACCCTTGCCTGTTCCACTGAGTGTAACCCTTCCTGATCTGAACCCAGGAGGAAGAGGAAGGGGGTGTGGGGAGCGGGATACAGGATGGGTGGAGCATCTGCTCAGGCAGTAACCCACGGGAGACAAATGAGGGCAGAGCCGGGCTGGAATCTGCCCTGTCTGGGTCTGGGCCCTCTCTGCAAGGAGACTGTGCACCATCTGATAAGAGTATTGGCCTGGGAGTCAGCTATCTGAGTCTCATTCCAAACGGGGCCTCAAAGCAGGGCAGTTTGGCAAAGCCAATTCGATACGGGGGACATTTTGATAGAACTGAATCAAGACAGAAAACTGCCATTAAAAAAAATCACCAAGTAACTTCTGAAAGACCTATCCAACCCTTACTTTCTCTCAGACCCTCCCCCTTCCCCTGACCCTCATTCCACCCCCAACCTGGACTCCATTCCTGATTTCTACCATGCCTCTGACCCCCTCTCCACTGCAGATCATTCCTGACTTTCAGAAGTGAGAGCTGGTATTGGGCGGGGCTCAGAGGGGAAGCGACGATGTCTGCTTTACATGCACCACTTGACAGTAAAAAAAAAGTTATAAATTTAATGATTTGGTTTTTAGGGTAGATGTCCTCATAGGAATAGTGCTGTGCCAATGCATTCCAGGGTTGAATGGCCGCTTTCAAAACTGCTAAAGGCTTTGGAAGTGATTTCTAAACAAAGCGAGAGATCTCAGGGAGGGTTCTCAGGTGAAAAAGCCAGAGGTCCCAGAAGGGAAAAAGAGACCGCTCCATCCGGGAACGAAAAACGCTAGAATCCTTATGAGGGTATGGGTGGTCTGCCTGCCTGGAATTCTGCCCTTTGCGGGGCTGCCTGCCCCTCTGCCATCCCATATGGTTCTGGTAAACAGTCACAGTGTCATGCCTGCCCCAGGCGAAAGAAGGGGGCCATGGCTCAAGCCTGGCCAACTTTAGTACCTATCTCCTGTCCACAGCGACTGGTCTAAGAGGAAGGTACAGAACCCAAGCAGAGTCAGCCTCCTTCCACGGGGTCTAATAATATGATGCCTAGGAGAGAACACTCTAAGATCTTCCTCTGGGATTGTGGACTATAAAGATGATGGGAGTCTGGGGCTGCTGACAGCCATCTTGCCACCATGCAGATAGTCAGCAACCCTATTTCAAACTTCCTAAGCCAATAAATTGTTTTTGCTTAAGCGGGATCATGCCTATTTTCTGTTCGTTGCAACTAACAGGCCAGTAACATATTGTTCCACTCCTTATTTCAGAACTTCGGGGGGCGCCTGGGTGGCTCAGTTGGTTAAGCGACTGCCTTCGGCTCAGGTCATGATCCTGGAGTCCCGGGATCGAGTCCCGCATCGG